AAAAGTGGGAAAGAAAGAAAGGTGGGTACGGGGGCTGGGGATGTAGCTCAGCGGCACAAGCGCCTGCCTGACAAGCGCAAGATCCTAAGTTTCATTCCTAGTACCCAAAACAAACAAAGTGGGCGCAGAGTTCTTGGGGTCCTGGGAACTGTTTCTTGATTCTTCCACATGAGAAATGGAAAACCATGGTTCTACCAGTTCCAACCCAGCCCCAGCTGTGGAGTATTGGAACAGTCCCTGGGGCCTTGGACCCCTATAAGCCTTATTTCTGCCTCTCCCATTCTCCCACTCCAGATTACACTCAGGGATAAAAAGTTTTGCTATGACCAGGGCATTAGTGGACATCATCTCATGAAGACTTCTGTGATGGTCAAGGTACGGTCCAAGCCTGGAGGGGAAGAACACAGGGTGAGGGGGAAGCCCCGGCGTGTGGGGACCACCATCATTGCCTAATTCTGCCGGCAGGTTCGAGGGTCTTCTGGGCACTGCTTCCAGAGCACGCACTTTGGACTCCGTATGCAAGTATTGGAGCTTGGGATACTGGGCCCTGTGCTGGGACAGGAGGGGTTGGGCCGGGGCTCCACAGGGCTGAGTCCCAGTGTTCTCCTGGGGGTCCCACTCCTGTGCTCCTGATTTCCTGCCTCCTCATTCATTTTCAGCGTTCATCCACCCACCCCCTTGCTCCTTTGCTCCATTCATGTGTTTAGAAAGGGCTGATGTCACAGATGTATAGGTTGCACACGAGCTTGTCTGTTTGTGTGTGTTGCATTGGCTACTTTTCTGCAGAGGGAAGTAAAGCATCTGAGAAACAGGGCTTCTTTTTCCAGTCCAGTTGGCAAAAAGGTGGCATATGGCCAGCTGGGCTTCCCTTTACATACTGGTCTTCTCTCTTTCTTTTATTCTTTTAGTTCTGGGGATTAAACCCAGGGCCTTTACACTCAGCCTTGTTCTTTTCTTTTTTTTGAGACAGGGTCTCGCTATGCAGTTCAGGCTGGCCTTGAGCTCACTTTGTAGCCCAGGCTAGTCTCGAACTTGCAGTGATCCTCCTGCCTCAGCCTCCTGAGTGCTGGGATTATAGGTATGCACCACCACGCCTGGCTCATCCTTGTTTATTTTTCTTCTCTCTCTCTCTCTCTCTCTCTCTCTCTCTCTCTCTCT